TAACATTTAGGAAAAGACCTTAAAAAAGAAGAAATTGAAGGTAAGCATGAATTTCTTTGAACTTGTAAAATTTATCTCGAAATTCCCTAAAGGAGAACCTGAAGTTTGTGCCTGGGTTGTATTGACAAAGGTTTTACTCTGTAACCATGACCTATTGCTAGACAGTGTTCAGGTGCTTTCCCAGTCAGGTGACTTACCCCCTGTCAGCTGCATGTAACGCTCTGACAGTCTGACCAGCGCCAGGGAACTGGTGTGCACAATGGGAGTTCTCAATTCTCAGAAAATACAAGTCTGAGCCGTTTCCACCCAGTCTCCTCTAAAGTTTAGATTCAATCTGAGATCTGGAGGTAAGGCTCCCGTGGGCTGTTCGTCAGCACCCAGCCGGTCATTCAGGCCCAGCCATGATCACAATGACCGATCCTCCTTAGCCACCATGGCGAGCCAGCTTTACCGTGAAGAAACACAGCAGCACGTCTTCAGGGAGACTTTCCAGTTGGTATCTAACATAGAAATGGTTGTCATTTTCTGAAAGGAAGATTATTACTTTTTTTTTTTTTTTGGCAGCACTGGGCCTTGAACTCTGGGCCTTTCGCTTGCAGTTACTTGTACAGTTTGAGCCACCCCTCCAGCCCAGAAGGAGAGGTATTAACTGGAGGATCTGACAGCAAAGTGATTGGTAGATATTATACAACACTATCTTTTGTCAGCTGTGTGGATTCTTCAGAAAGTGAACTTAGCATTTTAGATTTAATTCAAGTATTTAGGGGAACATTAGACAAATGTTTTGAAAATGCCTGCGAACTGAACTGAACCATGTAAATAAGGTATGATTCCTGTATTGTCAAATCTTTGTGTGTGTGTGTGTGCTAGGACTGGTGTTTGAACACAGGGTTTTGTGCTGGAAAAGCAGGTACTCTACCACTTGAGCCATGCCTTCAGTCCATTTTGCTCTGGTTATTTTGGAGATGGGGGTCTCCTCAGCTATCTGTCTAGGCTGGCCTCTGATAGCCTCCTGATTTTAGCCTCCCAAATAGCTAGGATTGCAGACTCAGTGAGCCACCAGCACCCAGCAAATCTAAACTTTTTCTTTTGAATCAATGCTGCTAAACACTGAAAGAATAATTCAGAAAATAATTTTTCTTCTTTTTAAGTCCCACTCCCCTTGCTTTGTTTTCTTTTTTCTTTTTTTTGCAAACTATTCCATTCCCCCTGTACTGTCTGAAATGAGCTCAGAATACAACTGTCAGGAAGATCTTCCTCTGACCTCTTTCCAACCCATTTCCTCATTGAAACCACAAGGAACCTTAAAGATAACCTGGGTCTCTTGATTTCAGAGAAACTCTGGCTCAAACGTTTGCCTTGCCCAGGTGGCAGTGCTCATTAATGGTTTTGCCTGAAAAGTACAATTTCAGGGTTCCAAAGTAGGATGCTCTTTGTAACACATCACTTGCAGCCATCACTGTTTTTAAGGTGTCAGTTATCTTCTGCATGATCATCCCCTCTGACAAAGATTGGAGGAGTTTGACAGAATTATCACCATTGATGTTTCTTCCTGCCCAGGTGTGGGGAGGGTAGTTATTGCTCCAAATCATACCACAGGGTCTTTGGACTGCAGAATAACTATCTCATTTGCAATTATACACAGAGACAGATGGGTAGACAGATAGATAGGTAGATAGATAGGTAGAAAGATAGGTAGATAAATAGATAGATAGGTAGATAGATAGATAGATAGATAGATAGATAGATAGATAGATAGATAGACAGATGCATACATGGGCATAACTTTTCAAATTTAGAGACCTGTGGCTTTTTAAAAATTGGAATGTAACTAAAAATGCTTTGTCAGTCAACAGACACAACTATATGGACATCTTGAGAACTTTTTAACAATAAGATATGGTTCTCAATAAAACCTGCTGAAATCATTTTAAGTAGGGAAAAGGGAAATGAGGGAGAGTGGTGGTGTCGACAGATCTAAGCAAAGCACATTGTAAGCATATATGGAAATGTCACAATGAATCCCTCCCTGTACAACTAAGATACACTAGTAAGAATAGTTTTTTAAATGTGGTTCTCATGAATAACATAAAGAGCAATATATAGGTATTTCACAGAGTGTAGAGGTACATGATTGTGATACCAGCTCCCAGACACAAGCTAGGAGGATAGTGAGTTCAAGGCTAGCTTGGGCTACACAGCAACAAACTATCTCAAACAAAAGGAAATATATAATTTCTCATGAGGATTGTGAAATCTGTGCCTAAGCCTTTATGAGTCACTCTGATATTAAAAAAAGCCTAGGCTACTTTCACCAAAACAGTTCTGGCTGACAGAAGAGGCTTAGAGACAGGAATGACTCTTGCAATGGCTCCACCCTTTCCTAAGGGGGGGGGGGCCCTCCAGCAATGCACAATCTTTCCCCTCAGGCAACAGCTGATTTGCAAGGTGTCTTCTCCAGTCACTATTCCTTCCCCACGTCCATTTAAATTCCACAAGCTCAGCAGACTCCTCTTGAGGGGAGGGGTGAAGATTTGCCACCTAGATCTAAGCTGAACACCCAGGCTGTCTCTTAGTTCTCACACTCAAAACAGGAAGGCCATTGCATTCTGCCACTTCTGCACACAACTGGCTTAGATGAAGCAATTCTGAGGCTCTGGCGTGCTGGGGGCAGAGGAAGGGAGCAGCATGAAGTCACTAATGGGGTAACTCAGGGCAGCTCCTGTCACCAGGCAGATGGAGTGGGGCAGACTCAGCACCTGTAATTAGGATCCGGAGCTCTAGGCTCAGCAGTTTCCAAGACCTATACCTGGCATTAATTCCTACTTTTTTACTATTTTCCTCCCCGATTAAAGTATAAGTTCCTGGACTGCAGAAATCAGGCCAAAGACCCCTGTTTTCCACTCCTGCCACGGGACTGGAGAGATTCTGTGGAAGGATGCTTGCTGAAGAAATCAGCTTGACGATGAGTTTACTAATTTACACGATGAATAAAGAAACACACAGAGAAGAATGGCGAAAATGTTTAATAGCTTGCTGCCACAGTATCAACTTTCATCTATGCACATAAATATAGTTAGACCATAAATACACATATGGCAAAATACCTGCCTCATGGCAAAAGAAAAAAAAATTGCAACAAACAACTTTAACTAATACTGAGCACAACTACATGTTGAGGTAATTTTCATCTAAACTGACTAGCCTAGCTTGGCATTCTTTCTGCATTCAAGTGGTTATGAAACCCTCACATCATACATAAATGCAGCTAACAGACATGTACAAATGAAGCAAAAAATATTTTAACCATAAATAGGCAGAATAAATAATAATATTCCTGGTGAAATTCAATTGTGACATTATTTCCTTTTTTTGGGTAATTTTTAGCTTTATTCTTAATTGATAAATTGTATATATTTATGGGGTACAATATTTCCATACATGGACACGTTGTGGAATGATCAAATCACAGTAATTAGTATATTTGTCCCTTCAATTATTCTTCATTTCCCTGTAGTGATAACATTAAAATTCCTTTAGTTATTTTGAAATATAAATTAGGTGCAGTTACTTTGCTCTACCCTGTAACACCAGGTCTCATTTTTAACTCTGTACCCCTTGAACAATGTCTCCCTTCCCCATCGCCCATCCACCCAGACTCTGGTAACCACTATCCTAACTCTCTCCTGTTTAGTTTGAGTTTTGTAGACTACCATATAAATGACAGCATGTGGAATTTTTCCCTGTGCATGACTTTCTTCCCCTGACAAATCGTCTTGTAGCCTCATCTATGTTCCAGCTTAAGGAAGAATAGCATTCCACTGTGTTATACACTATGTTTTAAATCCATTCATCCCTTGATGCAGGTTGTTTCCACACCTTGGCTATTGTAAATACTGCAAAGAACACAGAAGTACAGATGTAACTTCAGCAGACTTTCAGTTCCTTTGAATTTATACCCACTAGTGGGACTGCTGGATAAGAGTAGTTCTAGCCTCGGTTTTAGGGGCACTTCCTTCCACATAGTTTTCCAGAATGGCTGTACTAATTTATAACACTAACAAGGGTATTAGTGCTCCTAGGTTAGTTAGGCTCCTTTTCTCTACATCTTTACCAACACTTGTTACCCTTAATTTGTTTGGGGTTTTTTGTTTGTTTGTTTGCTTGTTTTGGTGGGGGGGTGTGGACAGGGTTCTCACTATGTATCCAAGGATGGCCTCGAACTCTCAATCCTATCTGGAGGCTGCTACACCTCCAGACTGCTGGAGTTGCCAGAGTGTGACACCACATCTTTTTGATACCAGCCAATCTAGCAAGTGTAGGAGGATAAATCTCAGTAATTTTCCCCTGCATTTCTCTGTACCGTGTATCTGTTGGACACCAGCACGTCTTCTTTTTGAGAAATGTCTACTCACATCACTTCACCATTTTTAACAGAATTATTTGTTTTGCTATAAAGTAGTTGAGAGTTTCATGTTCATACAGTGCAGATTAAAAATGAAACTCCTTTAAGAATCTACATATTACTCCAATGTAAATTATCTATACAGATATCCATTTTGTATATGTATTTCCATTCTGGAGTGAAATCTCTGCTCCTCTCTTTAAAAAGAAGGTATATCCAAAGTTTAAATATATTCAAATTCTTTAAAAGATTGCCAACTAACACAAGAAAGGGCATTTTACAAATTTGTAGGAACTTCTTATGACTATTTGTTTACTACATTTTAAATACATCAATTAGAAAGTCAAGTTCCTTTTTTTCCATCACTCCTGGTTATTCAAAAAATTTGCAAAGCTTTTTGTTGTTTAACATTCAATCTGCAAGAGCTTTCCTGACACCCAGTTACCCCTACTATTCTTCAATCTTTTTAAAGTTACTATCCAGCTTTCCACTTCCCAGTTAATGCCCGCAGGAACACATGAAAGGGTCATCTGAGCAGTTCAAGTTAAAAAAAAAAAAAAGTCAAATTATTTTGCATTTGTAGTGACCTATGAAATTAACATTCACTGTGACATTGAGTGTTATCAGAATGAATTTTTTTTCTTACCAGCATATGTACAAACCAAATATTCTACGTTGCTCTGCAGTTGTCATCAAAAAACAAAACACACTAAGCCATTCTTCCTCCCTGCCTGCTCTAATCATTTGTCAACTCCTCTTATACTAGGCAGCAAACTTGAACGAAAATACTAGAAAAAGCTTCTAAACAAAAAAAAGAATGTGTTCATAATGACTTCCCTATTTTCAAGACACTTGCCTTCTTGTTTTTAAACAAAGTGGTTTTACAATGTTCTCACATTCCAAGAACGACTTCTGGAAGACTTCCTGCAGAAAGTCATTTTTCCCTCATTCCATATTCCCTTTCAAAAGCTGACCAAAAGCAAGTGAATATTCCTTCTTCATGTTCCTCTCAGTTACAACGCAGTCAGTCTCTCCTCTAACTGAAATTCGTACCTACTAGAATACTTCCTTTTTTCAGGAATCCCTTGACACAAAAGTTTTAGAGCAGTCAGGTTATTAAATTGAAGAGTTTGGAAATCAAATTCAGAAGTTTCTGTCGGATATTCACTTTATCTCCAATTCTTCTGAGTTGAACACACTCAGCTTCCAGCTCTGTAAAGGAAGGCAAAACATCAAAGTAAAAACTGAGGATAGTCTCAACTGTGAACCAGCAAGAGTTAGTACAACCATCCAAGCGACAAGGTGAATACCCTAGGTGTCATTTCTTACACACTTAGAACATATGTACATATGCTAAGCCACTGTGACTCAGAACAAAAAATAGTCCAGGTAAGAATGGAGATATTTACCTTGAAAACTTTTTTTTTTAAGCTTTGTGGACGAGACAAGTATTCTCTTCTAAAGATAGAAATTTTATGTATCAAATACTACAAACAGTACCCTCAGTCAGACTTCATAGGACTCAGAGTGGTATCATCCTTTTTTCCCTCATTTTAGTTTAGGCACTGAACAGAAGTCAAATTCTAAGAACCTGTCTCCTCTTCAACTATATTTTGTTTTCAAATGGCAGTATTTCAAAGTTCAAATTATGACTCCTGCGTTAGTGGGCAAATTTAAACTTACCCATTTCCTCACGTAAAAAACTCTGATGTTTTGTCATAGAAGACAATAAATTCTTATTCCAAAGTTAACTTTGGAATTATTCCAAACAATTTTTAATGCTGCATTTTAATCTAAATCAACCTCTTCCCACCAACCTAATCTCTCAATCCAATGTGTTCACAGAGAAAAGTAGAGAAAATTATTTAATTCACATTTACTACTTTTGAAAACTGACGTAACTGGCTCAATGTTACTAAGAAAATAATGCTTATATATAATCTAATTTCCATATAAATTTTTTGTAAATAAGTAAAATTAACACTAAATTTATACTGCTCATAATTTCAATTTTCTTGAATATTTTAAAGAGAAGTCAGGGACTTTTTTGGCAACTTTGGTCCACTTCAAAAAAATGAAAACGAACATTTAAAAATTCAGACTGCAAATTTAAAATCGATGCTGTTTTAAATACTCTGCAAAGACCCTATTTAAGGCTCAAAAAAAAAAATGAGAGTTGTAAATATACAGTAAATATTTACACCTACATATGAGCCAATAAAAGGTGACTGAAATCTAGTAAATCTCTCCAGATGCTATTTTTTTGTGAACTTGGTGATCAGATATGAGGAAGTATTCACAAAGACATTTTCTTTTCAGTACATGGGATAGAGTAACAAATTGCCCTGTTAGAAAACATCATCCAGGAGCCAGGCCTGTAATCCTAGCTACTCAGGAGTAGAGATCAGGAGGATTGTGGTTCAAAGCCAGCCTGGACAAATAGTTTGCTAAACCCTATCTTGATAAAACCTTCACAAAAATAGGGCTGGTATAGTGGCTCAAGGTGAAGGCCCTGAGTACAAACCCTAGTACCTCAAAAAAAAAAAAGAAAGAAAATATCATCCAGGGCTGGAGTGTAGCTCAAGTGGTAGAGTGCCTGCCTCACAAATTCCAGGCCTGAGTTCAACTCCCAGTTGAATATGAATATATGTATATGTGTTTACGTATATATATACATGACTTGTAAGTCCAGGATTCTACAAGGAAAAACTTTTCCCAAAACTCCCTGTTGTGTCCTTAATTTTATTGCAGTTTCACTCCTATACATGTACTAATAGCTTTTGGGTTTGGTGGGACTGGGCTTTGAACTCAGGGCTCTTCTCTTGCAAAACAGGTATATTACCAGTTGAGCCACTCCTCCAGTCTCTTTTGCTGTAGTTATTTTGGAGATAGGGTTCTTAGGAGCTTTTTGCAGCAGCTGGTGTCAGATAGTGATCCTCCTGATCTCAGCTCCAAAATAGCTAGAATGACAGGCGTGAGCCACTGGCACCCGTCTACAAGTACTAGTATCTTTTAAGAGGAATTTTCTGCTGTCCCTAAATTTGGGGAATTAAGAAAGTCTGTCCAGAGACTGCCATGCACTGATTAGAACTTTCAGAAACATGGTCAGAACTCTTGGCCATCACAAAAGATTTACAAACTTCTCCATCCCAAGCAAGAGTCAGAGAAAGCACCCTGGAACCACTAAGCAGTGGTCACATTTGCTAGGTGCCTACCACCTGCCTTGCATGCCCCGCCCTTCAACTACAAAATGAAAGTGAGGGGAAAGAAGCCTATCCATCCTCTGATGTAACCCTCAGGGACTCCAGCCAAAGCCTCTCTGCCCTCCTCCACACCCTCGGGCTTTGATAAGATTTACAAACAGGCTGCTGGGGGTTAGGGGATAGGATGGGCTGACCAGAAAACTTGTGATGGCGCTGGAAGGGGGAGTTGGGTGAAAAAGAACATCTCTTCCCCTGCCATCCTCCACTCCACCCCCTTCAACCTCAACTGTTAAAATGTTAACGAAGGAGGAAGACTCCCTGGGCTCCTGGGACTTCCACAAACCCTCTATCATGATGTCCGGTGCTGGCAGCTGCGAAGGTCCCAAGCTTAAGCACTGCTTTTGTTGATGTTGGAGATGAGTGCAATGGGAACCTGCAATCAGGGCCCTCAGAGGAGGACTCGGGAGAGGGAGACAAAGGCCGTAGTGCTGGGAGCCTGGTGGCTCCCGGAGCCCTCTCCCGCCCCCACCTGCCGTGACAATGATGTCCTGGGCCACGGCCTGCACTAGCAGTTTTTCTCCTCGCGGCCCCAGAAAGAGCGAGTGTGGAGAAGGGGAAGGCGGGAGGAAGCAGGTTTCTGGCATGGCTAAAATGCAGCTGCATCCCAATCACAAGCCGAAGAGCATCCTAGAGTCCCAGAGCTTTCCAGGAAGACCCCCACCCCACCCGGTGGCCCATCCACGGCCCCGCGGGCGCGTACCTGGCGGCGCGCTCGGGCTCGGCGGCGCGCTCTTGAGCGGCTTCATCGCAGGCATCTCGGCCAGCAGCGCAAGGACCTCGGCCGCGCACCCGGGGGGATTCAGTTTGTCTCCAATTCTCCTGAGCAGATCGGCACACTGGACTTCCAGCTCTGAAAAGGAAACGCACATCGACATTAACATTGACGATAGTCCAAGCTGTTACCAGCAAGTTCACACGCCCATCCAAGTGACAAGTTGAGCATCCCGGGTAGCCTTTCTCTTCTCTTCAGCGAACCTATTTCTCAAGCGTGAGAAAGACTCAGAACGCGTGCACACACACTAACCCAACATGACTCACAAAAAAGTCACAAATACAGGCATCTACTCTGAAATCTATTAAAAAAAAAAAAGAACATCCTGAATGAGACAAGTATTATCTTACTGTTTTTTAAAAAAAGGAAATTTAACGTCACATTCAAAACAGTTCAGTCCGTCAGCCCGTCAGCCCAGGATGATGTCATCCTTTTTTTCTCTCATGTAAGGTTGACTAAGGAACAGAGTCCAATTCTGAACACTTGTGTTGTTTTTAAGTAGATTTGTTTTTCATATGGTAATCTTTCATAGCTCGATTCTACTGTCCTTGATATTTTCTCATAAAAGATTCATAACGTTGGGTGCGGTGTTTCTGCACACCTATAATCCCAGCGCTCCGGACGCTGAGGATCCTGAGCTGGAGGCCGCCTTGGGCTATGCAAGTAGGGGGAGGAAGAGAGACGAGGGGAGGGGAGGGGAGGGGAGGAGAGGAGGAAAGGAAGGGAGGAAGGGAGGAAGGAAGGGAGGGACGGAGGGAGAGAGAAGAGGGAGAGGAAAAGAGGAAAGGAAGGAAGGAAGGGAGGGTGGAGGAAGGCTTATAAAATCTTACTCCAAAATTAGGTTGGCACTCCATAAAGTAATTTAAAATTTGCATGTTAACCTAAAGTAGCCAACTTGCTACAACCTCAATCTGTATCAATTCACTGTCTTTCTAGAAAAGAATGAAGCAGAAAATTAATTTAATTCCCATCTTCACTATATGCTTTAAAATTAAGATACTGTAATTAACATTATTTTAAGAAAAACTAATTCTTTTAATTTAATTCCTAAGTAAACACCTGCAAATAAAATTAACATGAAATCAGTATATTTCAATTTTTTCAGTTTCAAAGCGCAATTTGGGGTCTTTTGAGCCACTTCAAGACCAAGACTACAGACATTAAAATCACCATGAGGCTGAGTGTGGTGGCTCAAACCTATACTCCTTGCTACTTGGGAAACAGATCTGGAGGACAGAGGTTCTAGGCCAACTCAGGCAAAAAGTTCCAGAGACCCTATCTCAACAGGAAAACATGGGTATGGTGGCAGCACCTGTCATCCTACCTATGTTGGGAAGCATAAATAAGAGGATCTCAGTCCAGATAGTTCCGGGAAAAAACAAGACCTTTTTCAAAAATAACTAGAGCAAAAAAGGCTTGAGCATGGCTCACACAGTAGAGCACCTGCCTAGCACGCACAAAGCTCTCAGTTCAAACTGCAGTACCAAAAGAAAAAAAGACCACCACGAATTCAAATTTAAAGCCTGATCTACTTTATAAATAAGACCCTTCTTAGGCTCAAAATGAATGAGAACTGTAAATATACAGTAAACTCGTAAACCTACATTTAAATCAATTTCTCTCTATATAATGCTGAGTGAAGCTAGGGGACCTAATAAATTTCATTGTATCCCATTTCTTATGGACACCAGGGTCAAAGATTTTAAGAAATATTTACAAAGACATATTCTTTAAAGTAAGTTAGGTATGTTAGCATATGTTCCTTAAAAAAAAAAAAGTTCATTAAGTGAATTTAGAAGTCCTGAATTCTGAGGAAAAATTATCACTTTTGCCAAAACAAAAACAAATCAAAAAGACAGATAATGGCTCCCAGGTTATGTATTGGTTTTTTAAATTTGTTTGGTTGGTTTTTTATTTTTCTTTGTGCAGTGATCCAACCAACCCCTCCCTGCCCCCAACTCAGGCCTGATGCTAGGCAATCACTCCACCACTGAGCTGCACCCTTAATGTTTCTAACACTTAGAGATATATCAATATCTAATTATTCTTAGGTACGATGTAAGTGCGACCTAGAGAGAGCCATGCCCAGGTTAGAACTTTCAAAACCATGCTCAAAATTCTTGGACATCTCAAGAGGTAGACAAGCTTCTCCATCCCAAGAAAGGGTTGGTGACCACTAAGCACCTTTGTAATGTGCCACTGCCTCCACATGCCCCATCCCGAATACAAAATGACAGTAAGGGAGCAAAGTGGGTGCCTGATCATCCTATGTAACAGCAGTATGTCCCACAGGGGATTTCCTATCTAGGGCCTTCCTAACATCCTCCTTTCAACCCCTTGGCAGGTGCCTGTCACCTTTTATAAATTAATACTTGTAGAGCGCTCGTTGGCAAGTACAAGTTCTTGAGTTCAAACCCCAGCACCTTCAAACAAAAAAGGAGAAAGGATTTATAAAAATTTATAAAAGGGAGCAGGGGAAGTCTGTCCTAAAGAGTTATCCTAGGGCTGCAGTGTTTTTATTGGGGGTTAGGGAGAAGCTGACAGGTTTAAAAAGACTGAGGGTCAACTTCTCTTCTCCTGCCCTCACCCCACTCCTTTCGATATTGACTGTTAAAATGTTAAACTAACGAGGAAGAGCCCCTGGGCTCCTGGTGGGACCTCCACAAACTCTCCATCAGTCCCGTGTGTCAAGCTGCGAAGGTCCCAAGTTTAAGCACTGCTTTTTTGTTCGTGCTAGAGGTGGGCGCAATGGAAAAACGCGATCAGGGGCCCTCAGAGGAGGACTCGGGAGACGAGGGCCGGAGCGCTGGGAGCCAGGTGGCTCCCGGGGCCCTCTCCCGCCCCCACCTGCCGTGACAATGACTGTCCTGGGGCACGGCCTGCACTTGCACTTTTTTATCCCGGTGGCCCAGGAAAGAGCGAGTAGGAAGAAGGAAAAGGCAGGCGAAAGGAGAGGAGGGAGGGCAGGTTTCTGGCCTGGCTAAAATGCAGCTGCATCCCAATGATAAACCGGCCTGGGCATCCTGGGCGGCCCGCAGTCCTAGGAGAACCTCTTGAAGAACTTTCTGGAGTCATCCCTAAGAGTCATGCGCCAGGGCGCCAACCTGAGTCCCCGCGCATTCTAGCCCGAGCCCCAACGGCTGAACAGCCTCGACCTTGACCTCTACCCCATCGGGCCTGGGTCGCTGCGGGCCGAAGCTGGTGGGTACCTGCCCGCGCCCGCGTAGGGTTCGCTTGCGCGCTCTTACGCGCCTTCCTCCCAGGCATCTCTCAAAGCGCAGCGGCGATCTGCTGCACACCCGGGGTACTCGGTCCCTCAAATCGAGCACTAGGCCTTCTGTAGGACACGGACGCGCGACAGCCGGGACGCGTGGGGCTTCTCACTGGATTCAGCGTGTGCCCGGGATCCTTTAAGTACCGCGCGCCAGGGCCCGCTCTCTGGTCCTATGGGGACTTCCCCGGTGACGTAGGGAAACTTGATGCTGTCCCGCCTCTGTCCCCGCCCCAGTTGTGGGCGCAGCTTCCTCAGCTGCTGGCTGGCGCAGCTACCTCGAGCTGCCGGCCGGCGCAAGCCTGGGCGCCTCGGCAAAGCGCAACCTGCAGGGACACGCTGCAGACCCCGCCCGCAGCGGGTGGGGGGAGGGGCGCGATCCAGCTCAGTCCTAAAATTACTTTTCTTAAAACAGGGTGGGAGGAAAAGAGGATCTGCTTTGAGAATCTGCGAGCACCAGAAGTCTAGTCCACTGCCGTTGTGGAGGGAGCTGGGAGAGGAGAGAGAATAGTTTTCCTGGGAAAGTTGTAGGCAGGGTGCAGCCAGGCGCCTTGTCCTTATCTTAATGACAATTAGAGACTTATGTAAACAAACCCCGGGGAAAAAAACCTAGAAAAAGGAAATGTTTACAACTGAGAGAGCGTGGATACTGAAGAGAACTTTAATAACAGTAGAAAAGGTGCCACAGCCCACGTGATTGAAATGGATCAGGTCCGAGAAAAACTATAAGACATCGAAAGGGTTGGGAAATCATTGCAAATTGCAACCCTGCAGCAAAGCAGAAGATTCCGTCTGCGCTGGGAAGGGGTGTGTGCGTGGGGGCGTACAGGTGACGGGCGAGAGAAGGGCTGGTTTTCGGCCATGGTCAGGACTGATTTTAAAAGGTCTGCATATTCCCTCTGATATGTCGATATTACACATTCTGGCTGCTTGGTAACACAAAAAAGTGGGTAGTCATACAGAAAACGCCCAGATCTTCTGTGGAGGGAAGAGGGAGGTATCAGAGAACATGAAATGATTTGCACAGTTTTGCTGATGCTGAATATTGTATTATTATTTAGGACTAGTTAACAGTTTTGAGAGTCACTACATGCTAAAGACGTCGGGTTGAATTTTCTCATCCCGTCCTCCAAATACCCCTGGAAAGGTGGCATTCTTACCATCATGGCCACTTTTTAAGTGGTGAAACTGAGGTTTATAAGAATTAAATTGCTCACATAGGCAGGGAACAGTGCTTTCCCTCATCCGAAACCAGACAGGCGCACAGGGACTAAGAGCATTTCCATTAGGGCCTCCTAAGCAATCACAGTGTCCTAGAAAACCTGTGTTTTTGTATTATCTGTTCTGTTTAGTGCAGCGCCTCCAAACTGGTTTCAGACAGCAGCGTGGACTTCCTAACGATATTAAAAGGCCGTATTTCCGGGGTCTTTTGGAAAATAAGAATCTCTAGCGATCCTGGATCCATTTTCCAAAAGTGCTGACAAAGCTAGAAGTGAGGTGGAAGCCGGTCCTTTTAGAGAGACCGAGGGGCTCCTGGTCACCAACTCTCCCTGTTTGCTTTTCTCGTTCACATTATCTGTCTGTAGTAGGCATTTGAGCTTGTTTATTTAGCTTAAATCAGTCAATCACCGCAAACCAGCAAATATTTACTTATGGCTTGGTCCTATAGAAGGTATAGACAACACTATAAGCGTGGAACAGACTGCCCTTGAGTTTAAACAACTTTGTTTAGAGACTGGGGCTGGGAGTTTTTGAGTATAGTAAACGCTTACGGACAAAAGTGAACCAAATTCAGGAGTTACCACCACATGACACAGGAAGCAAAATGGAGCTGGTGCCAGAAAATCTGTTATCTCAAACCCCAAGCCCCTGTGACCCTCTCATGGCTCATTTTGACTTCTTTAATCTGTAAGAACACCGAATTTCTTGAATGCATAAACTAGTAAACTTCTCTTTAAGCCTGTACCCTGAAATGCAATGAATACACATACATGGAGAGGGAGAGAAAGAAAAAAGCAAATTATAACATTGTTTGCCTACAAGGGGTGTGTCAATCCTGCCCTCCAACATTATCATTATAAAAGGTTGTTGACCCTTAGTGGATACAAATCTTAGGCAAATTGTGCCTTTAAGGGAATTGCAAATTCAACTTGCAGGGAGGGAGGGGAGAAAAGTGTGCGTGGCGGGGGTGGGGGGGGGGGCTGGAGAGTGGGCTTCAGAAATGAGTCAAAAGAAGCTGGATGATAGAGGACTTGAAGAATTAGGGCCAAGTGCTGGTGACTCACTCTTGTGATCCTAGCTGTTTTAGAGGCAGAGATCAGGAGGATTGCTGTGTGAGGTCAGCCAAGGCAGAGAGAGACCCTATCTCCAAAATAAGCACAGCAGAATGAACTGGAGGTGTGGCTCAACTGATAGAGCACCTGTTTTGCAAGCTTGAAGTACTGAGTTCAAACCCCAGTCCCATTAAAAAAACACACACAAAAAAACATGATTAGTAATAGACTAGTCATTTCTATGCTTCAAGCAGAACATAGAATTCTACAGCTAAACAAGAGGATAAAAGAGATGAATACACTGGTATTTAGGGGAAGCCCTGATGAAATATATAGGCTATAGATCTGATTTTGTTTGTTCCAATAGAAGGGACCTAGTTTTTTTCCTGTGAACCATGTTTGTTAGCAGGAAATTCCCATGATGCTTTGATCAGTTAACTTTCATTGTGGGACAGACACTGTGTTAGTTACAGGAAGACTCCTGGGAGCCTGCCATAGACAGACTCCTCCCTCCCAAATTTCATGTGAATAAGAATCGCTTACAATTTCTTAAAATGCACATCTGATTCCCAGAACTCTGGCTGGACCTGAGATTCTGCATCTGCATCTCTAAGGATCTCTGGTGATTCTGGTCGGTGGATGACTTTGAGCATCAAGGCAGAGGGGGCCAGTATCGAACCAACCGGCGGGTACATTAGGTTGTGTGTCAGTGCTGTGCCAGGGAAATTGTGGGCAGCTTAGCAGCAGGAAAAGTCATCAACATGAAGATCCGATGCTCTGATAGAAACTGGTCAAGCAGAGAGAAAGAGTCAAGCAGCAGTGTGAGGCAGAGAGCAAGAAGCACGGGATAAGTGGGGAGAAGCCACCAGGAATTTGGATGTTACTATGGAGACCATAAGGAAACTACTGCAGGTTTTAAGCAGGTGGGTGGTATAATCAGATTCTAGACTGCTCACTTTGGCTGCAGGGTGTTGGAATTCATTGGACTGAGACCTGAGATCGTGATTTGTGGACATACTTGGTAATTGTCGTACATGACGGTAGTGCTAGCAAAGACATATTTCCTGCCCAGTATAGGACCGCATTCAGCTACAAAATGTCTGGATTTTTTTTTCCAGCATAAATGTAACTGACCATTTTATTCTACACTAGCTTCCAAAGGGCTGTGGTAACAAAGTTCCACAAACTGGGTAGTCTAAGACAATAGAAAACTTTCTCTCACAGTTCTAGAAGCAACCTCTGAAATCAAGGTGTCAGCAAGGCTGTACTAGCTCTGAAGTCCCTAGGAAAGAAATCCTTCCTGGCATTGGTTGGCTTGCACACAATTCCTGGCATTCCTTGACTTGAAATGAATCACTGCAACTTCACATGGCATGACCTCCTCCCCTGTGTGTCTGGCCAAATTTCTTTCTTAGAAAGACAACACTCATCTGATTAGGCAGGAATCCAAACCAATATGACCTCATTTTAACTTGATTCCATCTTATAAAGACCTTATAATTTGCAAGTTGGGGACATCTAGAATGTCATATCTTTTGGGGGGATACACAACTCAAACTCCTAACATTTCCCCTTTATCAGTTGCCTTTAAATTTTTTTAAATTATCTGCACATATGTTTTCATCCTACTTGCAAGTTGCACATTTTGCAAACCAGAAGGCTTTTGGTAAACCTGAGGACGGTCTTAAAGCAGCCTCATAGCTCACGAGCAGGTAAGAAGGACCAGGTTGAAAACATCTGCCAGCCAAGAAAGCACATTCTTAGTTGGAGGCTGTGGTATAAACTGCTCTCCACCCCCATCAAGGCTTCCCGCTCACAAGACCAAGCAAGTTTTCAATAAACACTCCAAAGGAACTTGAATATTAATTTTTATTACCACAACATATAAGCACATTATAAAACGTACAAAATAAAAGTTTCATTCTCAGCACCTTCACCCTTATAAGAATTCTTATCTTATCTCCAGTGAGTGTTTCTAAAAACCATAACTAATGCAGTATATATAAAATTCTACGTCTCTCTCAACATTATAGCCAAAGCAATTTGCCTGTCTCATGTCTGTTATTCTTCTTGCTTCCTAATAGAGTGATCAAATGGACAGTTCCAACTTACTTAGCCATTCTCCTTTTCGTAAAACTTTAGGGTTTGTTTCTCTTCTCTCCTGGGCTCTTCCCCCATCCCCACAGCACCACCACTTCACCGCCTTTCCTTTGTTACTTTCAAATTAATTGCAGTTTCATTTCCCCTTGAAGTCCAGATATTGCATAGTTTTATTTATACTTCTGATGTGAAGGAGGAAAAAGAGTAAAGTTGGGCCCCCTATGAAACCCCACTGCTAACTTCATCTTGCTTTTCATTGCTTCTACATTTCCTGTTGAATTATTCTGGATTGCAACACCCAAAGTCTCTAGTTTTCCTTGTACTTTCCCTTGTTCCTAAATTTTCTCGGATTTGTCGTTGTTTGTTTTGTGGCCTCCCCCATGTTAGGCAAGCATTCTACCACTTGAGCCACACCCCCAGCCCTTTCTGTTTTTATTCTGGTCTTGAGACAAGGTCTTGCTGCCTTGCCCGGGCTAGCCTCTGGACTCCCAACCCTCCTCCATTCCCCCTCTCCCCCTGACTCCTGTGGCTAGCTAGCCTTACAGCCATGCATGACCACGCTCGGCTTCTTCTCTGCTTTTCTGGCCTATCTTGGATGATGACCACCGTGTTTGCTAGTGTTTCCTTTTTTTAAAACTGTAAAGATTCCAAAAGAGAAATGGACAGCAGTATGTTTCAAAAACACAGTGTGGACTTAGGTGGGTAACGCAGAGGTAGATGGCTTGCTAGCATGCTAAAGGCCCTGGGTTCATCCCCAGCAGCACACACACATTACC